TCGAACTCACTAGGGGAGCAGTGGAGAAGATTACTCTGGGAAACAAGGACTAGAGAAATAACATAGAAAAGAAAATCATGCTATTAGTGAGGAAAAAAGCTACGGGAAGGGGCAAACAAAGGCCAACTCAATCCCAGCAAATCAACATGGTGGATATCATTTACGAGGAAGCCCTACCAGCAGGGCCACGTCCAGGAGCAAAGGAAAGGTGTGGGGAGGCGTCCACGAAGGACTTCAGCTGGGCCTGCTTGTCGGCAGGGAGCTTGCTGAGGGCCGAAATATGGACCCGCTTGCAGCCCACCCGGGTGCACGCAAAGCCTTGGCACATGAACGGGAGGCAAAGTCGTTCATTCGAGGAACTGCCCGGTGACCGGGCAAAGACGTTGCAGGACGGCGGGGAGCGGGCTTGGGGACCCGAGTATAAGAGGATGCCCTTCCTCTTATTCGCTTCTGGATTGGACTGGCCAGGGGTATGAGGGGAGTCCGTAGACGACATACGTTGACGCTTTGGCAAAGGGGAACGGGCAGATCGACCAGAAGCGTCAGGAGACTGAGCTTGGCGTTGGAACAGAGTCATGATGATAGGGTGCATGCGGTAGTCATTGCTAGTACCCCTCTGAATCGAGACTTGAAGGGAGCGGATGATGGAGTTGGCAACTTGGTTGGCAGAATCATAAACCTTGGGACTGATGGTGCCATCGAACTTCAAGGCACGGATGTACTCTGTTCGTGTAACAAGGACAGCAAAAGCTGAAATAATAGTGTGGATGTCCAAGCAACGTTGATGGGAAACGGGAAGGTTCTGTCGTGGTTAGCATCCATTATCGTGCTTACCATTGTTCGGTAGGACAAGTAGGTAGTTGCGCAAGTGTGTCATGATGGCACTATCATCAATCTCTTCAATGAAGTAGCTATCAACGCAACGCATGTTGCAAACAGCCTAAATAACATGGGCAATCGTGCGGATTTGGCCGCCAAGATACAATACATTGGCTTTTGGAGGAAGGGCCGCCTCTTTCTTGTTGGTTTCATCAAAGTTGCGGGCCATGAGGAAACCACTAGATTCAAGCTCCTTGTAAGTGGGGGTTGGAGATGTCGGGGGATAAGAAGTTGAAGATAGAACGTTGCTGCTTAACGGACTCAGTCGAGCTAGAAACAGGGTCCGTGACAACATTGTAGTTACGGTATGTCTCAGACAATGCGAAGTTGGCTTGAGCTGGAGTAAACGTAACTTGGGCATCCAAGTAATTTGTGCTAGCACCAGCTTTTTCCGTAGCAGCAGCAACTTGTTCCTTGAACGTGGCGAGCAGCCCCTGCCGCCTTGATGCGCTGGATTTGGGTAGGCCCGTACCGGTTAGGAGAGCGGGGCGGAAGAAATCCTGGCCATCATCATGGGGGTTGATCATGACAGAACCATACATGATCGAGAATCGACGAATGATTTCCTGGGAGTATTCTTCGTGTTCTTCATCTTTCTTGGATGGACGGGAGACGGACTTGGTCAACGTTTCCGTGAGCTTGCCGAACTGGGTCAAGAGATCATCCGCGCGAAGCGGAGGAGTGCCTTCAGGACGATGGTCGGAGTCATGATGGTCAGAGTCATAGCGGCCCGATTCACGACGGGCAGTGTCACGACGGTCGGCTTCAATTGCTGCAACCTCAAGTGCGTAATCACGACGTTCTTCTTCGGCCGTTTGAATGCGCTGGCCAATAGAGCACCAAGCCATGTCGTGTTGGTCCCTGGCAGACGACGTAACTAAAGCAAATTCTGGGGCCGACGGGGAGATCAACTGGAGAGGGGCATTGACGTGGTCAAGCAATGGTGTGATTAAGAGCGAAGGGCTCCCAATCGAGTTCAGCTAACATGAACATCTTGCCTCCTTGGGTGACGGACCAACCATCATTCTTGAGGATCGAGTAACGGGCACCTTGGAGCCAAACCTGGAGGAGGTCTTCACGTGTGAACTCGTCAACCAATTGGGTGGGGTCACTTAAATCGGTGGTCTGGGGGAAGGGAAAGCCTTTGGGCCAGGGGTACATGCAAGGGAGGAAACAGAAACCTGGTTCAGAACCCGCCACAATCAGTGGCTCGAGAGTAATACGGGCCGTAGATGGGGGTTCAGCATCTTCGTGGGTACCACCGGCCGGGGCAGGACCAGAGATATCATCGGGATGTTGTTCAGACGTTGTCAACTTGAACTTCTCAATGACGGAACCAGGAGCCAGGGCCGTGAAGTGGGAACGAGCCCAACGAAAGGGAATCTTGGCAGGGACGACCTCACCAATCTTGTCAGAGAGATTACCAATGAGCCAGGTGTGACCAGCCGGGTCGACAAAGGGCTGCGGGTTGGCAAACAAGACCGGCTTGTTGTCAACAATGATCATAAACTGATCATAGTGGCGGGTATCCGCCAAGAGAGCATCACGAACGGGCTGGGTTGTTCCCCGGTTAAAGATCATCGGCGTCAAGTGGTCAGAAGTGGGGGGTCCCGAATGAGACGAAGAAAGACATTGGTCAGTGGCATTCTTTCCCCTGGCAACAAGGGCACGAACAGCTTTGGCGTGGGCAAACATGGTCAAAGTAGGGTAGGAAAACAACGGTAGGGCTGGTGGGCAACGAACGGGGCAAGTGAAGCTGGAAAGCAACAGGGAAAAAGCAGGTCCAATTAGTATATCTGAGTAGACTGGGTCTAGATACTAATTGTGAGCTAAGTGAAGTTCGAACAAATTCAACCAGCACACAACTAGATTGGCCGCCCAGCCTAGGATTGGCTACGAGTGAGGGTACAAACTGCAGTCCAATCAAGTCAGTGCAAAACATACGTGGTCCCTGGCGGGTGGACGATGTCACACTCTCCAAAGGGGCTGCAGAGCGATAAAACAGGGGTAGATCAACTGTATCCTGAGTTGAGGAGGGGGTGGGGGTTGCAGATGGAAGAGTTTTGGTAGGAAAGGGAGACGAAAGGGGCCCAAAAGGGGCGGGGATGCATACGGCTGTAGGATAGGTACTAAGTGTTCGTCAAGTCAAATGCAGAGAGGAAGAAACGGGAAATGGGGGGATCACAGCACCAAAATTGGGAAGGCTAAGGGGTAGAGGATACCGTTCAAGGGAACAATCTACAAACGTCAAGGTGACGAGAAAGAGAGAGGGGGAAGCTGGGGCTCGGGAAAGATATGGAGAATCACAAGCTGGCATTAGGATTGGCTAGAGCCAGATTGGGTGTCAGATCAAGTAGAAAACAAGGGTACAGGTAGGAAACAAGAGGGGAGGCCAGTGGGCCACAGCACCAATGTAGGTTGTATACTAGACTAATGGTAGGGAGATTTCGGGAAACGAGAAAAAAACCGGGGAACAACTAAAGCTGATCTTGGAAGATAGAGCGAACAAGTCCTAGCCAATTAAGCAGTCAAAACCGGGCAGAACGATGTTAAAATGAGGTCAGACTGTACATGGGAAAGAAATGGGCCAAAGGTCCTAATGCGGTTGCCGAAAGACTTAAGGACAGCAGGTTGTCACAATTTGCGGCAAAAATTATACTGAGTCCCAAACGGGATAGGCCAAAAGCTGTGCCAATCTGTGAATTTTTAATGGACACGATCCAAGTGACAATGGTGGTCAAGACGACCGGGAAGGGAGACGACGGAACGGGTCCTAAGGTAATATTTTGCGAGGGCAAAGGGTACCTAGGGCTAAATGTAGCACCCGGTGTAAGGAGTAATGGTCAATGAGGGGGCGGACCAGGCCCCAATAAGGATAGTCAATAGGAGGGCAGTCATGGTCAAAGACCAATGACGCGATACAAAAAAAGGTATCCATTAAATAGAGGGACCATAAAGGGGAATAATAGGGCCAACAAGGCCAGTGGTCGCATTAGGCGAAACCACTATAGGTAGTAATCAAATGATTAAAGAAAGGAAAAGAGGAAAACCGAGTAAAAGTCGGATCCAAAGACAAGTCTACCAATAACAAAGTATGGATAATAGACAAAGGGAAAAACCCAGGGACTCGGGCAAAGGGGGTGCCCGAGACAAAGAAAAAGCGAAGCACACCATTGCGGTGTGGTAGTTGGTTAGGAACCAACAGTAGATGGTGTTGGCCATAAGGCAACACCATGGCCATTTGCAGATCCATCAACAACCAAAGTGTGGTCTTTGGTTGCCTGGGCCTACCATCTGCCAGCTATGAGTTGAGCGGGTGATGTCAGATTCCAGACTGACCAGGCAACTGGGACTCATCCCCTTTGCTGGTTTGCCTGGAGTCTCACCTTCAAGGATAGCGACGACGCGAGTGCAACAGCAAGGAGACTGTCGTGTTGACAGCAACAAGAGAAGCCTGTCGAAGGATCGACAGCAACAGCGACGACGCAAGATCCGAGGACGGATCGCGACGACGCAATGAGTGAAGAATCCGAGGACGGATCAAGACCGCGACGACGCAACGAGTTTCGTCGGCGGCAACAGAGTTTCATCGGCAGAATCCACAAGGATTGTCGATAGGAGAGCCGACAGCATCCAGCCGGAACTGTCAGAGCCAACAACAAGCGCGAAAGCCATAGTGCCAGCGCAGGGGCCAAAGGACGGGCACCCAACAAGGAATCAACAATACAAAGAAACGGGTTCGGAGTGGAAACGACCGCACAGTGTGTGAAGCAATCGTTCCCTCCCTGCAAGATCTTTAGTAAATAGATTTAACACTCCCTAGCCAGGAGTATAAATTTGAAGTTATCGCCCCATAGCCAAAAGACGAATAAGTAGTCGGACGAGACCTTCAATTAAAGAGCTAGTCAATCAAAAAACAACGAATTGAAATAGTCCACCTACCGTAGCATAGACAATGAGCAGTAGAGGTAGAGGAAGAGGTGGCCGAGGAGGCGGCAAAGCACGAGGGCATGGAAGAACCAGCCCATCGTCGAACCAGCAGAAAGGTTCATGCAAAGCCCTCGACCAACATGTGTTTAACTTCGGTACAACTGGATCTGGAACGGCAGACCAGATGATACGCACATGGGAGAAGATCGTCATCCACGTTGGACAAACGATGGGTGACGACATGAGCAATGAGCTACGCAACCTGAAACAGACAGTGTTGGTAGCACCGGTGTACTCAACGGAGACCCAGAACAGGCTTGAAACGGCGAAGATACGACGTGAAGTGAACAACCGTCGTCTCCTATCGGCAACCCAAGCAAGCCTACAGCTACTAGAATCAGAGATAACCGCAGTCACCAATGACCCGACTCTCGGTAGCTTACGCACACTAACGATAGAAAAAGCACAACTCGTTAATGAAATAGCCGACCTTACGGCAGCCATAGCCGACCCACCGGAAGAGGAACTCCGGGGACTCGAGAAAGCAGAGTATGGAGGGCTGATGAAGACCCACCTTACGAGGTTGGCAAAACTACAAGAAAATAGAGGCAAAGCTTTCAACTTGATCCTAGGGCAGTGCACCCGACTATTAAAGGACAAGATGAAGCAGAACACGGACTTTGATGACGTCCTGTTAAGATGCGACCCACTGGAGCTACGAAAAATGATCCATAAGACGATCATGGCCCAGACCGATGATAATTTTGTGTACCACACATTATTCCAACTGGAAAAACAACTGTTGAATTTCCACCAAGGGAGCCTTACCGCTTCCGAATACCACGAGCAATTTACCACGAAAAGGGACATTGCAAAATCCGTGGGTATTTCAAAGATACACGATGCAGCCCTGCTGCATACGGCGAAACTACTCCACCCAAACACAGCATACGCTGACCTTGGAGCCGATGACCAGAAGAAAGTCTCGGCATACGCTGAAGAACGGTACTATAGTTACATCTTCTTAACAAATAGTTCAGCCGAAAATACCAAGCTTAAACAGAACCTGAGGGACGACTTTGCCAAAGGCACTGATAACTATCCCCACACGTTACATGAGGTATTACACCTTTTGGACAAACACACAAGAGTAACATCCCACGACAGTCCACTTCCCACGGAAGCTCCTTTGCTCAGACAGCACAAGGCGGGAGAGGACGGGGTGGTGGCAGAGGAAAAGGCGCGGAAACGCGAGCTATGATAAAGAATACTGGAAAGAGAAAGAATGCTTTACCTGCCACGAGAAAGGACATCCAGCATCGCACTGTCCTGACAAAAATAAAGACAAAGATAAAGACAAAGACGACGACGACAAGTCGAGGTCAAGCAAGCGTAGCAAGTCAAGCACGTCGAGCAAGAAAAGCTCTAGTAGCACTCAAAGGAGAACCCTAGCTACTATCAGCAAACTGCAAGATAAAATGACGACAGCATTGACAACCCTGAACGAAGAACAGGATGCTGCCGACTCTGACATCACGCAGTCAGATGACGAGAAAGTCGAGAAAGGTTTCGTTACGTTCGGTGTACCGCTGTTCGCGGACAGAACGAAGACGGACGGAACGAATAAACCGACTAAGCAAGGCATAGTCGCCCACACAAAAGGGTTGGACGACATAGATATGAGAGAGATCCAGCTACTGGACAACCAGTCCACGTTGGATCTATTCTGTAATAAAGACATGGTTACCGACATCAGGAAAGCCGATCGTCCAATTACAGTGAAGAGTACCGGAGGCAAGCTGAAGGTCCAGCACACAGCCAAGTTAGCTGGCCACAAACAGAGAGTATGGTTCGATGAAAGAGGAATCACGAACATCTTATCTGTTAAAAGAATGTCCGCAAGAATTGCAACATCGTCTACGACTGCCCGAAAGGAACGTACACAGTCATTAGACCAGGCCTACCGGACGTAGTATATGAAATGAACAGTGAAGGATTACACGTTCATGACCCTAGGAAAAAAGGGAAGGCACTTGTGAGTACTGTCGCCGAAAATAAGGAAGGCTTCAGCAAACGACAAGTTAAAGCCGCATCAAGGGCGAAGCTGCTGTATAAGCAACTCGTCTATCCATCGATTAAAGATTTTCGATGGGCGATTATGAGCAATCAAATCGCAAATTGCCCTGTGACCGTCGAAGACATCGATACGGCACAAGCTATATGGGGCAAGGATATTGATGCGTTGAAAGGCAAGACCACTCGAACGAAACCGAACGCAGTGGCAGGCAATGCAATGAAAGTGCCGAGAGACTTTTTGCAATTACACAAGGATGTGTTCCTAACGATGGATATTTTCTTTGTGGCAGGAATTCCGTTCCTGTTAACGCTAAGCCGTAAAATCGATTTTACAACATCTAGACACCTGCCCAACAGGAAGCTAGAGACCATCCTAGAAGCAGTTAAGGAGGTCTATCGATTCTACAAGGCTCGTGGTTTTAGAATCACGACCATTCATGTGGACAATGAGTTTGAGCCTCTGTCCAACACAATCATGGCAATGCCGGGTGGACCGGTAGTGAACGTTGCCAGTGCTAACGAGCACGTACCCGAGCCTCTGTCCAACACAATCATGGCAATGCCGGGTGGACCGGTAGTGAACGTTGCCAGTGCTAATGAGCACGTACCCGAGATCGAACGTAGAATCCGGGTAGTCAAGGAAAGGACACGAGCTGTCCGGCATAGCCTACCGTTCACACGCATGCCAA